GTCAGTTGAGCAACTGTTGTTGGTATATTATAGCCTGTCAACAGAAAATAAACGGGAAACGCTGCTATTGCTGCAATGATACTGTGCTTTGTTTTACCTACCGTATATACTCGAATAGACGGCTCAGTTTTAAATAAACGTGCCATTTCGCCTCTCGAATAAACGCTGAGTAGTTTTGACGCAGCGGAAACGGTTTGGTTTTCCAACCTCTCGAGGTCGGGGTTTCAATCTTTCGCTGTGCATCCAGTGCCGGCGCCAGCGGGGAGGGGGCAAGGGGAAAGAGCTCAAGTCCCTCTGTCGTAAACAAGACTAATAGAAGCAGCATCATTCTCAAAACGTCCCATTAACGTTCTAATTTAGCAAATTTACATTTTCTAACCGGTTTGGAATCAGTGTGTCTTTATGATCATGCAATAAACATTTTGTAGGTAAATATGTGTTCCACATTTATAGTGTAATTGAGAGAAGTTAATTTAAGTATAGGTAAGTACCGGTATCTTTTTTTAACATAACAAATAATAATAAACGCCTCTCTTGAATACACCTATTAACTCCCCCTCACAAACCCTTCTCGACAAAAATAAAACTCCCCCGGGAGTTGATTCGAATAAATACGGTAATATTGGCAGTGTCACGTGTAATAACGCTAGTATGGTATCCTATACTAACCGTTAATATTAGTGAAATAAAAAGTAGACGTTTTTTTTTTATTCTCCTTAAAATTATAACCGCAAAACAAAAAAAGATACCAAGAACATTCCAATCATATACTTCATTCATTCATTCATTCATTCATTCATTCATTCATTCATTCAAAAATCGACAATACTGTTCAAGAGGGAACCATGGGCAGAGGGCTCAACAAATTTTATTAAATAAATTTCTATGGTAAATACTTTTTCTATTAATGTGGATATATTTTTATTTTGTTGAGTTCAAGACTCATGACGTGTATATATACTTACATGCTGTTGGGGTGAATGTTTGAGCACCTGTGGACGGCATATAACCTGTAGTCGTCATATAGCCTGTGAACACAAATAATAGTATATAGGCCTAGATAAAGAAAAGGTAAACGCATGCTATTACTATAATGATATACACTTTTAGGTTATTTATTGTAATTTACATGTTTAGCTGGCCTTTTACGTCAGGAAGTTGACTATTACATGTTTTTTTTTTTAATCCAATTGGTTGTTCAGTCAGGGTTGATCATTTAGTAGGCCCTATTATAAATATTTTATATATCACAAGAGAAGCACAATCAAAACTAGACTTATTGGCTGTTTGTAAACAGAATATAGGGCTTTTCCTCATTGCCGTAATTAGAAGTAATGTTAAAATTACTAAAAAAAAAATATTTAAAAAGTCTAAATTAACCCAAAAAAACCAAAATGAAATCATATAGAATATTATAAATAAAACTATGAAGTTTAAACACATGAAAAACAACTCGACTTCAGGGAAACTCGAACTATGACTGCTATAAATATTCAAAATTATGTAGAATGACGATATATTTTGTGAGCATAGGCCTATCTTTAATATAGTCTTTGCTTGGAAAATATATGGAGAAAATTAAAGCACTGAAAGTGACCAAAGTAGCCTACTGGTCTAAAGAAAGTCTGTGCAAAAACAACGAAAATGGGGTAGAAGAAAAACAAATTAGAAGTTCTTACAACGGCTATTTTTGCTAACGCCAAAAGCCATTAAAAAAATTAAGCAAAACAAAAACCTGGACACTAACACGTTAGTAAGACTCGAACTATAGCTGCAATGGTAATGGCAAGGGTGAAAAAACCAGTGGCAGCGCTACAGGGGACAAGGGGGAATTTTCATCAGATAATTTTCTTGCACCTCCCTCTAACAGTTTTCCCCCAGTTTTGTCGGAAAAATGAATATTGTAAGATTGGCCAATTAAATTAATTGCTCCGATTGGTCTATCTGTCATTTAAAGCCATTGGCAACTTATATATAATGCATTTAACAACACAGTTTAAACAGTTGTAATAAATATACTGAGGATTTAAATAAAAATAACAACCACATAGATAGAAGCGTTACCCGTTAATGTTGTGATTTTATAAAGTATAATTTATCTCCGGTCTGATCAGTTAATCAGTTTTTGGTATATCCAATCTATAACGTTTCACTTTGAATGGTCCTCATATCCATAATAACATAATACTTTCTTGCTTGTAGCTGGGTTAAACTTTTCCGAAAGTTTCATTAACTTTAGGTGATCCGTTTTTTTCAAATATCTGGCGTAGAGTGTTTGCTTTTAAATCATTTTAATTGGTCCTACATCCACACCACACTCAAAATTGTCACTAATTTTTTGGCATATCTTTGGTATATGGTCTATGTGTGAACAAAGTTTGCAAAAGATCCAAGCATGGAAAGTGCTCATAGTGCCGGGCATAAAAACTATGCAAGAAAAAAATAAATTATAACAAAAACAATCGCATTTCCTGTTGCAGCTAGAAAAAGTCAATTATCAAATCTAGAGGGTAAGCGAGCGCACCCAGAAATATTTGAACGTCGGTTTAGATAAAATGAACAATATGACAACTAAAAGAAAAGAGGATAAATAATTTTTTTTCCTGATTTACAGACATAATACGATACAAAAATGTTAATTATTTGATATATCTTACTTATATATACAAAACATACATGGTATTGAATTTATAAAAATCAAGTCAATAAAAATAATGTGTAAAAAGGCAAAGAAAGATTTTTATAGTAGCCACATTCATGAATCTTCAAATGATTGCAAGAAAATGGGGACTGGACTGACACAACTAATTTCTTCTACCACATATATTTTGCCATCATTTATTAGAGTTAATGATAATACTATAACTACTGACCAAAAAAATAGGTAATTTAATGAGTATTTTATTAATATTCCATTTAAATTGGAAAATGCACTAGCTAATAGGGTTATTTCATGTTCTTATTTTAATTCATATAAATCTAGTTTTTCTTTTCGAAAGATTACATGCGAGTTCGTTCTGGAACAGCTACAAGGCATGGACTCTGGACCATCGACAGGCATTGTCATCCTATTAAGCTCCTGAAGCTGGCGGCTCCTAATATCGCACCCTCCTTGACGCATATTTACAACCTTTCATTAACTACTAATTATTTTTCTAATGATTTAGAAATTGCTAAATCATACCCATTCATAAGGGGGATCCAAATGTGACCTAAATAAACATCGTCCCATCTGTAATAACTTTCGCTGCCTTTTCTGTACTGTTATCTGTTACCTTTGCTCGCTGTGTGTGCAGTGATAAAGATTAATATATAAATTTAGAAAAAAAAAGCACCTAGTAAAATAAATTTTTCGTATACCGTAAATGCTCAAACAAGCGCCGCTCTTGAATAAGCGCGGCTCTCGAATACACACTGCATTATGTATGCATTTAAATATAATTTATAAGTCTATTTTATACTAATTTTCTATTTTGTTATTTACATAGGCCCTATTGTACAATCATAAATGGTATTTTCTTTGTATCATATTCTAATTAGGTCGACTCTTTGTATGTAACTGTACTGCAAAACTACAAACATTATTATTATTATTATTATTATTATTATTATTATTATTATTATTATTATTTCACACTCTATTATTGTCGACTATTGGTATTATTCATTGTTACTTATATCCTACTCAAATTGTAATACCACTTACCTTAGAACGGATTACTCAAATTTTAATTTATTTCGGGTTAAATTTGAAGAAAAAATATACATACATCAACATTACAAGAAAAATAAAAACAAAGAGTGCTGCCAACAAAGGATAACCAAAGGTACTCAAACGATACTGTCATGTGGCTCTCTGAGGCCTGTCTCTTATACACATCTCATATAGCCTGTGAACACATTAAATTGCAAGAGATATCATATTTACTAAGTGACCGAGATGCAAAATCAAAAAGATATTTACACAATCGGAATTAATGAATCGAAGAGAAATATTTAATATATTTTATGTGGGAGTGGCTTAAGAAAAGCAGGGAGCATCTAACTTCATCAGAGAGGGAATTAAACAGTTTACTAAAGTGAATAAATGGGGAAAATGTGTAAGCATTGGTACGAGCAAACTTTTTAATAAACTTAGTGTTGTAACATGACGACAATTAACTTCAACGAAATTTTACGTGTGTGCGTGTTTTTTTTCCCCCTATGGCTGCTCCGACGGCCTTTCCTTAAGAAGATGCCTTCTTCTTTCTGCATCTTCAAATTTCAGTGCTGCTTTACTTAGATTTATAATTTGTTACTTAACTTGTCACTGAACTTTTATATGGCCATTTTAATTTTGTTGTATAATATTTGCGTTTTTAATTATTTTTTTTTGGTCTAACTTCTGTCGTTTAAAAGAAGAAAATAAAGTTCCACTTGAAAATTGAAATTAAAGTAAGCTCTAGTGAAACGGCCTTGGATTTTTTCTAGGCTGGCGATGTGACATTTTTGTTAGGTAGTCAAGCAGGCACTGCGTATTCAATTATGGTACAGCATAGTGCAAAATGCAGATTTCGATGTGCGAGATTGCCCTTTGAGTCACCCACAATTCTTCCATGATCATTGAATTACACTAGCATCAAATATTTTTTGACAATATTTTTAATAATATTAATAATATTCTTGATAAAATAATATTCCTAATAATTTAATCTTTGGATCTTGATGATAATTTTGATGATAATTATATCAATGTTAATGATAAGAATAAATTTTGTTTTATACTACACACAGTATTAAAATAATAGTAATATTATAGTGAGGCTATTAAAACCTTAAGACATTATATTACCTTGACTATATTTGGAAGATGCAATTAAGAATTTAATCTCTTATTTTGAAAATAAAAACAAGTTCAAAAATAATTTTGAAAATTAACATTTATGGTTGTGTTAGCCTAATTTAGCATTCACAATACGAAAATAGATCTATGCGTATTTGTATAGAACTTCGCAATGACATGATACGCCTATATCTGAATAATCAAGAGACACTAAACCATACAAACAATTGTTTTTATTATAAACTATTGATTTTAACCTTTAGCTAATCTTTACTAATATATTGAATATATAAAGCTACTCTACATAGCGATTTATGAAGGTTAAATTAATAAATGTATAAAAACAAACAAAACATAAAAGGAGGGGGGTCATTAAGTTCAGTAACGTATAAAGAAAGGAACTTTTTTAATCATTTTTTTCTGTCCTTGATGTAATTATGTAAAGCATTCTTTCTCTGCATTATCATTACCTCCTGGATTGAAATGTAATTTGAAATAAAATTTGATGCTGCTTTTGTACATGTGTGATATTTTTAATGTATTTTTTTCTCTTACATTTTTGATAATTTTGTAAATTTAACATAATATAGCCTAATCAGACTGTTTGTAGTTAAATTCATGGTCTTTGTGCATCTTATTTTATGATTGTTGTTCCATTTAGAAAAAAATATTATGCCTATTGACCTATCTTGCATCTTATGATATATTAATAAAGGCCAATATACAAATTATAACAATAATTTCATATCACATATAGGGCCTATAATAAATATTTCAAATATATATTTCGAATAAAAAAATCTGAATCTGAATCTGATAATTTACTATCAGCCAAAAATTCACGAAGAAAAAGCAGGCGTGGTGCCAGAATTTGACCGACGGGGAGGGGGGGGGCGAGGGGGCGATGCCTCGAAAGTTTTGACAACTTAGGGGTTTCACAGGCTTCTTTAATCGCTTTTAGAGTCTACTAATATGTAGAAAATACGTTAATTTTTTTTTCTCCCTGACTAATTGTGCTAATTCTTCCCGACAAAGGGTCCCCCTGCTGGCGCCACCCCGGGACAAAGGTAGAAAATAATAGATATTAATCTAAAAAGAAAGGCTATGTAATTAACCTCAGTGCAAAAAAGCTTATAAAATGATAAGTGTACTAGCTACACATTAAAACTCGAAAGAATTAACAATTGTATACCTATTAAATAAACAAACAATGTATTCTGAACCATTTTAATTACAATTATATAGACCTATGTATACAAACATATATAATTTAAAATAATTGATTATTTATTCACCATAAACAAGCAGGTTTCTAAAGTTTGTGTTGGGCGAGCTTATCTTTCCGGCAGCGAGCGTAATTACTAGCATAGACAAAACTGTAATTCAGAATTTTTCATGATTTTTGTGCGCCCTTAATATTAGCAATCGTCGTCTTATCGAGAAAATCGCGGAAATAAAGGGCTTTACTGTATCATTATTTGACAGTTTTTGTGCCGAGCAAATCCAGGCTAACCAATGATTTGTTGACGCCTCTGAGATGATCTCCGAGTTGAATCATCTGAGACTAGATAACCTCTTTTTATTATGACTAGCGAACCTTATGACTAACTGTCCTATATTATGACTAGCAAAACCTTTTCATGATTATGACTACGAACCATTTATTATGACTAGCGAACTTTCCTTTCTATTATTAGTAGCGAACCTTATAAATAGGCTAGTGGTCCTTATGACTACCGACCTTATGAACAGAGGAACTTATGAATAGCGAACCTTATGACTACGGAGTATACCCAGTTGGGCCAAGGCTACAGGTCCTACTTATAATTGACTTTATTGAGATCTTTTATAGGGACACCACTGTAATTAAATTTACTATGGTTTGTTTAATTTTATTGATACAAACTATAGTAAATTGTTTGTATCATTTTAAATGATACAAACAATTTACTATCTTTGTATGATTTTAAATGAAACAAACCCTAGTAAATTGTTTGCATCATATTAAATGATACAAACCATAGTAAGTTTTTATCATATAAAATGATCATTTTATATATTTTTTGTTAAATAAGAACGAATTAATTTGATATGATCTCTGTGAATAGACACGTCACTATAGTTTTAAAAAAAAACACCCATCCTCAACAAACTAGGGATGTTAAGACATAAATTTATTTGAAGATAAATGAACTACATTCGTAAGTTTTTTCCCACACTATCAACTTGTATGTGACAAATTCGTTTTTTATGTGCCTTATATCTGCATGATGTCATTTTACAGCCAAATATGGGCATAGGCCTATCACATTTTTGTCACATAAAATTTGATAGTGTGGACAGAGGTTTAATGAAGGTGAACCATTCTCCATCTCGCTGTTCAATTCGAACTCTCAACTACACATGGGAAAAGAGAAACATCCCCGAAATATAACACCATTAATTCGAGAGAAATTGTTTATACTCACTACTAGTACAGATTACGCTTGCATCCTCGTGATGACCACAGTCGTGTGATCGAAGTCCCCTGTTGGGGCAATGGGTAATATCGCTCTCATTTCCTGTACATGCAACGTCATCATACATGATATCTCCACATCCTTCTCCAAAATGAGCTGACGGTGGAGCGTCGATGGCATCTGGAAAGCCTACTTGTCTGCAGATAACTCGAGCGTCAGTTATGTCCCACAAATCATCACATATTGTGCCCCACTCCCCTTCTACGTATACTTCAACTCGCCCTTCATTGCTGTTACTTCCACCGACAAGTCTTACTTCTGAGCAAATGCATTTTATAATAAAAACAATATTATTAGGCTCTAATACAAAATTTTAATTATGTTTTTCACTATTCTATTAATCAAGGTTTTTAAACAAACATAGTAAATTGTTTGTATAATTTTGAATGATACAATCCATATTAAATTGTTTGCATTATTTTAAATTAAACAAAACATAGTAAGTTTGTATCATATAAAGTGATCATTTTATATGTTTTTTTGTTGAATAAGAACGAATTAATTTTATATGATTTCTGTGAATAGACACAACTTAGTTAAAAAAAAAAAACATTTTTCTTCTTTAAAAAAAAAAAAAAAAAAAAAAAACTAGGGATGTTATAACATAAATTTATTAATAGGGAGACAATTGAACCATTTTCTAAGGTGTTGTCCACACTATCAAATTACATGTGACAAATTTGTTTAATTTGCCCATATATGAGCATGATGTCATTTTACACCCAAATATGGGCATATCACATTTTTGTCGCATAAAATTTGATAGTGTGAGCAGAGGTTTAATGAAGGTGAACCATTCTCCATCTCGCTGTTCAATTCGAACTCTCAATACACATGGGAAAAGAGAAACATCCCCGAAATATAACACCATTAATTCGAGAGAAATTGTTTATACTCACTACTAGTACAGATTACGCTTGCATCCTCATGATGACCACAGTCGTGTGATCGAAGTCCCCTGTTGGGGCAACTGGTAATATCGCTCTCATTTCCTGTACATGCAACGTCATCATACATGATATCTCCAGATCCTTCTCCAAAATGAGCTGACTGTGGAGCATCGATGGCATCTGAAAAGCCTAGTTGTCTGCAAACAACTCGAGCGTCGTTTATGTCCCACCAATCATCACATATTGTACCCCACTCCCCTTCTACGTATACTTCAACTCGTCCTTTATTGTTGTTGCTTCCTCCGACAAGTCTTACTTCTGAGAGAAACAGTAAATTTATGATAAAAACAATATTATTGATAAAAAAATGTTAACAATGTTTAAATTCACTATTCTATTTTATCAAAGTTTATAAACAAATATAATAACGCCGACAAAAGCACTCACAGAATCAATTGTTTTCAGTAAATTTCTTTAAGCTAACAATTTTACGTTGTAATAACGTTGCAGATTGGTATTCATAATGGGGTTTTGCCATAAATAAATTTATGTCCTTATAATGTAATTCCCTAATAAATAACGTTGCAGGCGTTGTTGCAACGTTGTGATAACGTTATTATCTGACACAATTTAATCAGAATATTTACAACGTTCGTGAATGTTATAACTGTTTTGTGTTTGCTGGTATGATATTATTATAATTATCAAAGTACCTTCAGTTTACAACTTTTATTATATGCTTATAAATTTAAACGCCGATTTACACAGGGTAAAACGATTTACATATTATCCCATCTTCAGGTTAAGAAGAGTAGTATAACTGAAGGATAATGGACTTTTACGCTAAGCCCCGCACCTTTGATATAGTTGCATAACATTCTTTGATAAACTTGAAATGTGTATTGACGTTGTACTTGCTGACGTGCACCTCTTTCATAGTGTAATACACTCTGATGATTTTAATGTTAGATATTCCTGCAATAATTTTAACTCATGTAATTTACTCAAGAAACTTATTTCTATTTTTAAAATTTTGAATTTTAATCAAAATTACTCAATTTAAAGTCGTGTATAAGTTAAGATCATACCACTGTTATGTAAGAAATTTAGCTTTAAAATCTGAGGACAATGGAAAGGCATTTTGATCCTTTGTCCTCAAGTCAAGAGCAAAAACCAAGTGCTCAAAATTTTTACTGGTTAATGATCCAAATTTAATATCACAAACATTTAATGATTATTTTAAATCAAATATAACTAATAACACTGAGACTTCTTGTAATGTTGATATTAATGATTGTAAAAAACACAATGGCCTACGTCCATTGACTGATATTCAAACTACGCCAACCGAAATCCTTAGACTTACCAACAAATTAAAAAATGGCAAAGCACCGGGTCCCGATGACATTACACAATGCATAAACTATCAGCTGCATATATGAGCCTCTGGCTGAATTGTTTCACTTATTACTCCGTTTGGGAGTTTTTTCCTCTAAATGGACGATGGCCAATGTAATTCCTTTACATAAGTCTAGTGCAAATAATGACATCATTAATTATAGGCCACTGTCTCTGTGTTCAACGGTTGGACAATTATTAGAATGAGTTTTCAGTAAACATTTACTGGACCATTTAAATTTTCACAAACTATTTTCACCTTATCAACATGGCTTTATGGAAGATCTAGTCAAACAATACTTAGCACCGCTTACTATCATTGGGCTAAGATTTTAGATGAGCGAAACCCTACTTCAGGAAAAATGTGTAAGCATTGGTACGAGCAAACTTTTAATAAACTTAGTGTTGTAACATGACGACAATTAACTTCAACGAAATTTTACATGTGTGTGCGTGTTTCTTTTCCTATGGCTGCTCCGACGGCCTTTCCTTAAGAAGATACCTTCTTCTTTCTGCATCTTCAAATTTCAGTGCTATTTTTTTAGATTTATAATTTGTTACTTTACTTTACTCCGTTTGGGAGTTTTTTCCTCTAAATGGACGATGGCCAATGTAATTCCTTTACATAAGTCTAGTGCAAATAATGACATCATTAATTATAGGCCACTGTCTCTATGTGTTCCACGGTTGGACAATTATTAGAAAGAGTTGTCAGTAAACACTTACTGGACCTTTTAAATTTTCACAAACTATTTTCACCTGGCTCTGTAGATGGAAGATCTAGTCAAACAATACTTAGCACCGCTTACTATGACCAATTATAGGCCACTGTCTCTGTGTTCAATGGTTTGAAAATTATTAGAAAGAGATTTCAGTAAACATTTACTGGACCATTTAAATTTTCACAAACTATTTTCACCTTATCAACATGGCTTTATGGAAGATCTAGTCAAACAATACTTAGCACCGCTTACTATCATTGGGCTAAGATTTTAGATGAGCGAAACCCTACTTCAGGAAAAATGTGTAAGCATTGGTACGAGCAAACTTTTAATAAACTTAGTGTTGTAACATGACGACAATTAACTTCAACGAAATTTTACATGTGTGTGCGTGTTTCTTTTCCTATGGCTGCTCCGACGGCCTTTCCTTAAGAAGATACCTTCTTCTTTCTGCATCTTCAAATTTCAGTGCTATTTTTTTAGATTTATAATTTGTTACTTTACTTGTCACTGAACGTGTATATTGCCATTCTAAATTTTTTTTGTGTAATATTTCCGATTTTTGTTATATATTTATTTTTTTTTGTTTTAAAGAAGAAAATAAAGTTCCACTTGAAAATTGAAATTAAAGTAAGCTCTAGTGAAACGGCCTTGGATTTTTTTTCTAGGCTGGCGATGTGACATTTTTATTAGGTAGCCAAGCAGGCACTGCGTACTCAATTATGGGACGGCAAAATGCAAAATACAGATTTCGATGTGCGAGATTGCCTTTGAGTCACCCACAATTCTTCCATGATCGTTGAATTACACTAGTATCAAATATTTTTTGACAATATTTTAAATAATATTAATAGTATTCTTGATAAAATAATATTCTTAATAATTTAATCTTTGGATCTTGATGATGATTTTGATGATAATTATATCAATGTTAATGATAAGAATAAATTTTGTTTTATACCACACACAGTAATAAAATAATAGTAATATTATAGTGAGGCTATTAAAACCTTAAGACATTATATTACCTTGACTATATTTGAAAGATGCAATTAAGGATTTAATCTCTTATATTGAAAATAAAAACACATTCAAAAGTAATTTTGAAAATTAACATTTATGGTTGTGTTAGCCTAATTTAGCATTCACAATACGAGATAGATCTATGCGTACTTGTATAGAACTTCGCAATGACATGATACGCCTGTATCTGAATAATCAAGAGACACTAAACCACACAAACAGGTATATTGTTTTTATTATAAACTATTGATTTTAACCTTTAGCTAATCTTTACTACTATATTTAATGTATAGACCTACTCTACATAGCGATTTATGAAGGTTAAATTTATAAATGTATGAAAACAAACAAAACATAAAAGGGGGGGGGGGTCATTCAGTAACGTATAAAGAAAGGAACTTTTTTAATAATTTTTTTCTGTCCTTGATGTAATTATGTAAAGCATTCTTTCTCTGCATTATCATTACCTCCTGGATTGAAATGTAATTTGAAATAATATTTGTGAAATAAAATTCGATGCTGCTTTTGTACTTGTGTGATACTTTTAATGTATTTTTTCTCTTAAATTTTTAATAATTTTGTAAATTTAACATAACATAGCCTAATCAGATTATTTGTAGTTAAATTCATGGTCTTCGTGCATCTTATTTTATGACTGTTGTCCCATTTAGAAAAAAATATTATGCCGTTATATTTTGTATGAATAGCGAACAGCTTTTAAAAATTTTGACGACCTAACCTCTTCGTTGTTATGACTACCTAAACTTTTTTTAATTATAACTAACGAATTTTTTTTGTATTATGACTATCGAGTCTCTTTTTATTATGACTAGCGAACCTCGTTTTTAGTATGAGTAGCAAACCCTCTTTTTATATTAAGACTATATAACCTCTTTCCATTATGACTAGCGAACCTTATGACTAACTGTCCTATATTATGACTAGCGAAACCTGTTCATGATTATGACTATACGAACCCTTTATTATGACTAGCGAACTTTCTTTTCTATTATTAATAGCGAACCTTATAAATAGGCTAGTGGTCCTTATGACTAGCCGACCTTATGAACAGAAGAACTTCTGAATAGCGAACCTTATGACTACGGAGTATACCCAGTTGGGCCAAGGCTACAGGTCCTACATATAATTGACTTTATTGATATCTTTTATAGGGACACCAATGTACGTCAAGCTCAAGGGAGTTTGAAAGTGTCTACTTCAACCAAAAAAAAAAAAAAAAAAATTACTATGATTTGTGTCATTTTATTGATACAAATTATAGTAAATTGTTTGTATCATTTTAAATGATACAAACAATTTACTATGGTTTGTATGATTTTAAATGATACAAACCCTAGTAAATTTTTTGTATCATATTAAATGATACAAACCATAGTAAGTTTTTATCATATAAAATGATCATTTTATATAGTTTTTGTTAAATAAAAACGAACTAATTTGATATGATCTCTGTGATGATCATTTTATATAGTTTTTGTTAAATAAAAACGAACTAATTTGATATGATCTCTGTGAATAGACACGTCATCATAGTTTTAAAAAACATCCTTCCCCAACGAACTAGGGATATTAAAACATAAATTTATTTGAAGATAATTGAACTACATTCGTAAGTTTTTTCCCACACTATCAACTGGTATGTGACAAATTCGTTTTTTATGTGCCATATATGGGCATGATGGCATTTTACACCCAAATATGGGCATAGGCCTATCACATTTGTGTCACATAAAATCTGATAGTGTGGACAGAGGTTTAATGAAGGTGAACCATTCTCCATCTCGCTGTTCAATTCGAACTCTCAACTACACATGGGAAAAGAGAAACATCCCCGAAATATAACACCATTAATTCGAGAGAAATTGTTTATACTCACTACTAGTACAGATTACGCTTGCATCCTCATGATGACCACAGTCGTGTGATCGAAGTCCTCTGTTGGGGCAACTGGTAATATCGCTCTCATTTCCTGTACATGCAACGTCATCATACATGATATCTCCAGATCCTTCTCCAAAATGAGCTGACTGTGGAGCGTCGATGGCATCTGGAAAGCCTAGTTGTCTGCAAACAACTCGAGCGTCAGTTATGTCCAACAAATCATCACATATTGTGCCCCACTCCCCTTCTACGTATACTTCAACTCGCCCTTCATTGCTGTTACTTCCACCGACAAGTCTTACTTCTGAGCAAATGCATTTTATAATAAAAACAATATTATTAGGCCCTCATACAAAATTTTAATTATGTTTTTAACTATTCTAAAAATTAAGGATTTTAAATAAACGTAATAAGTTGTTTGTATAGTTTTGAATGGTACAAACCATAGTAAACTGTTTTGCATTATTTTAAATTAAACAAAACATAGTAAGTTTGTATCTTATAAAGTGATCATTTTATATGTTTTTTGTTGAAGAAGAACGAATTAATTTGATATGATCTCTGTGAATAGACACATCTTAGTTAAAAAAAAACATTCTTCTTCTTTAAAAAAAAAAAAAAAAAAAAAAAACTAGGGATGTTATAACATAAATTTATTAATATGGAGACAATTGAACCATTTTCTAAGGTGTTGTCCACACTATCAAATTACATGTGACAAATTTGTTTAATTTGTCCATATATGAGCATGATGTCATTTTACACCCAAATATGGGCATATCACATTTTTGTCACATAAAAATCTCCATCCCGCTGTTCAATTCGAACCCTCAACTGGAGGACACATAGAAACAGAAAAACATCCCCGATATATATAACACCACTAATTCGAGAGAGATTGTATACTCACTACTAGAACAGATTACGCTTGCATCCTCATGATGACCACAGTCGTGGGATCGAAGTCCCCTGTTGGGGCAACTGGTAATATCGCTCTCATTTCCTGTACATGCAACGTCATCATACATGATATCTCCAGATCCTTCTCCAAAATGAGCTGACTGTGGAGCGTCGATGGCATCTGAAAAGCCTAGTTGTCTGCAAACAACTCGAGCGTCATTTATGTCCCACCAATCATCACATATTGTACCCCACTCCCCTTCTACGTATACTTCAACTCGTCCTTTGTTGTTGTTACTTCCTCCGACAAGTCTTACTTCTGAGAGAAATAGTAAATGTATTTATGATAAAAACAATATTATTGATAAAAAATTTCAACAATGTTTAAATTCACTATTCTATTTTATCAAGGTTTATAAACAAATATAATAACAAATATAATAACGCCGACAAAAACACTCGCAGAAGCTTTCTTTTCAGTAAATTTCTTTAAGCTAAGAATTTTACGTTATAATAACGTTGCAGACTGGTATTCATAATGGGGTTTTGCCATAAATAAATTTACGTCCTTATAATGTAATTCCTTAATAAATAACGTTGCAGGCGTTGTTGCATCGTTGTGATAACGTTATTTTCTGACACAATTTAGGCAGAATATTTACAACGTTCGCGAATGTTATAACTGTTTTGTGTTTGAAATTTAACTCATGTAATTTACTCAAAAAAAAAACTTTTATTTTTTATATTTTGAATTTTGATCAAATTTACTCAATTTAAAGTCATGTATAAGAAGATCATACCACTGTTATGTAAGAAATTTAGCTTTAAAATCTGAGGACAATGGAAAGACATTTTGGTCCTTTGTCCGCAAGACAAGAGCAAAAGTGCTCAACATTTTTACTCGTTAATGATCCAATTTTAATATCACATACATTTAATGATTATTTTAAATAAAATATTACTATAATAATAACAGAGACTTTTTACTGTTGATATTAATGATTATAAAAAAACACACCATGTGTTTGAAATTTAACTCATGTAATTTACTCAAAAAACTTACTTCTATTTTTTATATTTTGAATTTTGATCAAATTTACTCAATTTAAAGTCATGTATAAGAAGATCATACCACTGTTATGTAAGAAATTTAGCTTTAAAATCTGAGGACAATGGAAAGACATTTTGGTCTTTTGTCCGCAAGACAAGAGCAAAAGTGCTCAACATTTTTACTCGTTAATGATTCAATTTTAATATCACATTCATTTAATGATTATTTTAAATAAAATATTACTATAATAATAACACTGAGACTTTTTACTGTTGATATTAATGATTGTAAAAAAACACACCATGGCCTATGTGCATTTTCTAATAATATTCAAACTACGCCAATAGAAATCATAATTCTTATCAACAAATTAAAAATTGGTAAAAAACACCAGGTCCCGATGACATTACATCTACAATGCTCAAATTATCAGCTGCATATATGAGCCTCTGGCTGAATTGTTTAACTTATTACTCCGTTTGGGAGTTATTCCCTCTAAATGGACGATGGTCAACTTCATTCCTTTACATAAGGCTGGTGAAATTAATGACATCACCAATTAAAGGCCACTGTCTCTGTGTTCAATGGTTTGAAAATTATTAGAAAGAGTTGTCTGTCAGTAAACATTTACTGGACCATTTAAATTTTCACAAACTATTTACACCTTATCAACATGGCTTTATGGAAGATCTAGTCAAACAATACTTAGCACCGCTTACTATAATTGGGCTAAGATTTTAAATGAGCGAAACCCTACTCCAATTGATGTTATCTTTTTGGATTTGAACAAAGCTTTTGATCAAATAAGTCACCCTATTTTACTTCATAAGCTACATTACTATGAATTATATGGTCCTGTGTTACAATGATTTGTGTCATATTTGAATCAAATCAACTCAAATCAAATCATCAAAACATTTATTTTCCTTTTTCTTATAGTAAAAAGAAAACAAATCACAAAAATATCTACTTCTCAAATTAACAAAAATATACAAAATGGAATATATAATTAATAGGTAAACGCTTCTCAAAAATAATATTATGTAAATAAAATTTCAAGAAGCACAAAATAAAAAAAAAATAAAAAATTAAAACAGGCCACAGCAAAGTGAAAGAAGAATGCATCCTCCAAATGGTAAAATCTGTGTGGAAGGGGCCATGAAAGCGAAGTAATTAGATTTCATAGAGAGATATAAACATGCAAAACACACACACACACACCCCTCCACACACACCCACCCACACACACCAACACACAAACAAGAAACACGCAAACAAAACACATGCCCAAACAAAAACAACAGTCAAGTATATTAAATAAATAAAAGCAGATCATTATATGTTTAATAATTAGAAATAAGAATATGTTTAAGTATGAAGAACTTTTTTGTTAGCTTTTTTCAAAAGCTATATTGCTCCATTATTTGGGACCACTGAATCGAATGTTAAAAACAAGGGAATCAGTACGAGGTTGCGGTAAATGTAGTTCATTAGCAGATCTGGTATCATAGTTATGAAAATGAAAATTATAATGTATTAAATTGTTAAAAAGAGAGAAACGCTTGAAGACCAGATCATGAATATAGTGCGCATTATTGAAGATTAGTAATATCAGCAAATTTTAATAACTTTAATAACGCAAAGATAGGAATTGTATGACCAAAAGGCTGAGAAAAAGAAATAATTCTAACAGCTTCCTATTGGCGTTTGGTAAGTTGTTTGAAATAGTTGTTGGCCCAGACATGCCGTCTGTTATTTTATCTTATGTACTGTAATACGCAGATGATACAGTTTTATTTAGAGCTATTAGATCTCCTGAAGACCATAAATCACTTCAAAATGATTTAATTTGTACTATACATTGGAGCATAAGCAATAGATGCTTTTGAATTCATCAAAATACAAATCGATGCGCTTAACTAGGTCAACTAGGTTAAGCGAAAATGTTAATAATTATATAATAGGTGTCGACACATTGTGCCAGGTTACTTCGTATTAGTACATCGGAGTAACTTTACCTCAAAATTCGATTAGGGTTTGCATGTGACTCAGATCAGATTTAAGGCTTCGAAAATAACGGGTTTTATTAAGCGAATTGTTCGTTGTAGGGACACTGTTGTAATTCCAAAATTATTTTGTGCTATTGTACGTCCAGTTGTTGAATACGGTGTACCTGCTTGGTTTGCCAAATCAAAAGGGACATTTCAACTCACTTGAACAAGTTCAACGCCGAATGACTAGAGCTTGTTTCTATGGGAGATATTCCCTACGAACGACGTCTTGATATTCTTTAATTAATTTAAAGTTGAAAAACGTTTTTCAGCTTCTATCCACGTCCTTTATTGTTAAGTGTCTCCATGATGTCTATACTATAGATATTTTCAACTACATTAAAATCAACCCGCGATGTTGAGAACATCTCAAATTTGTACATCCATTTTCACGGACAAATTCTTTAAAATACTCTGTTTTCCATTCCTTTCCGCGTTTATGAGAGTGGTTACCAGCGGATTTAGGGATTTGTTAGTTTTAAATATTAAGCTTTTTAAAATATCATAACATATACTATTCCAAATAAGTTTTATCGATATTTTTTATATACATATGATTGTTTTAAATTAAATTGTCATCATTTTAAATTAAAGTAATATTTATAATATAATATACGGGTGGTGGTGGTAATAATGATAACTATTATTATTATTATTATTATTATTATTATTACTATCGATATCAAATAATAGTTTGGGGTATTACCTTCGTTATCGCATTCATCTCTAATGCTCATTGTGTCTCGGTATTAGTCTATTGATGTACACGTAGCAATAGTGAAACACCGAAACACATAATAAAAATAGTATAGGCCAAAATATCAAAGACATTTGTGCAGTGACGTATCGTACAATCCAGTCCTCCCCCCACCCAATACTAGACTTCTAGATACGCCACTGCATTAGTGTCACTTCAAGTAAATGTTAAGCTAGTAATATGGAATTTCAAACTAGTAGGCCTAATCCAATTTTGAATTAGTAATCTGAAACTTGGAATTAGAATTCTTAGTAATATTTTCAAACATGTAGTGGAGTTAAATGGTTTTATAGGACACAACTTACCAGCTGAAAAACATTTTTCCTCAATCAATATGGTTACAATATAAAACGAAAGTAAAATATCTGCAAAGAAGAAAAACAATCAAAAAGATTCATACGGAAACGAATTTTGGTGTATATAACCAAGTCTATACCTAGCTAAAATATCAGATTTCAATTCAATTCAAGTAATATATTGTTTCACTTTTTTATATAATACAATTTGTACAGTATGCATCATAATAATTCATAATGATAAAAAAATGTAAGTACATAGACATTATCATTTTGTGAAAAAGGAACTCTGTGAATAAGCATGCTTTTAGTTCTAAGAAAATAATGATGATTGATTTTGTCAAATGATGTAGGAACACAAAATGTACAATCAGGACAAGTAATAACATGCCAACCAGATTGCCTACACAATGACTGTCGATAACTGATCTATTAAATGGCTAAATGTATCATATAAAATTAGCCACATCTTGATTGGAAGTTACTTGGTTTATCTTAAATAGATTGCCAATTGCATGGAGAATACTACAATGAAACTGTCCAACAATTAATCACCGTCGTGATTAAACAAATAAATAAGTTCAAATCATTGTATACTTACGAAGTTTCAACGATGTTAGAAGCATTCTGTGGGATCGTCTTTGAGATGGTTCTTGGTTTACTTACTGTTTGTGAATTATTTGAAATACGAGCTTTCGCTAGCGCAAGATAGATTCTTCAGGTGAAAACTAATTACGGCTACTATTTTTCTAATTTTAATAGTTCTAATCATGTAGTGTTAACGATTTGTCATGACGTCACCTCGATGTTTTCAGGTTGACTTGCGCCGCCAGTCAATTCAGACTTGTGTCGTGTTTGTAGTGCTATAATCCCTCTCCTGCAATCTGATCTTGGATTTTAGATCACAAGATAAACATTAGGTTATCACCACCATCATCAACATCATTATTATTATTATCCTCATCATTATCATCGTTGTCATAAACATCACCTTCTTCACATACACACTAGTACAGATTACAATTAAATCATCATTAATACGCATTATCATTTGCCTATCATTATCATTATCACGAATTATCATCAAGCACCGAATAATTTTTAAGACCTTACCTTGCAAGCTTTTAATCCCTGTGGTGGTCTTGTTCACGCTAACGTCACCTGATCTTGTTATGACGTCAGAGGGGTTCCCGTCAGTGGACTTCGTTAGTCCCCTACGTTTTCTTCTACTCTTTGGTGATGTTCTTCCATACGGCGGGAAGAATAAATCTACCTGCATCCCTGTCCAATTACCGGTTTGTTAATTTTATAAAGATTGCTTCTCTAACCCCCACCCTTTTAAATCTTTTATTATTATTTTAAATGTTCGGGAGTTATTATGAAAGAATATATAGAGGCCATAGCACTTAAATAGCAAATTATTATAATTAGTCTTCCACTAGACATCACAATCCCTGATCTTCGAGGGCCCTTCAACTTCGATTCGGATGTAATACTATCATGCAGTCAGCCATGGGTTACTGGGTGTGCTCGAAATGCTTTCTATAACTTAATGAGGTAGGCATTATGCTGTTAAAAGATTAGAATCACTAAACTTCGTATTTCTATTAGGTATACAGTTTATAACTGTCTCTCCATAGAACTATACCTACATGATACATCTGCCGTTAAACAAAGAAATGTCTGAATAATTAATCTGTTAATCGGTAAAGGCCAAAAAGAAGCAAACACAGCACTTAATTTAACAACAGGAGTCTCAAAGTACGAAAAATTCATTCAACTTCATATTTTAACGCCTTTTGAGCAATAAACCAGAATTTTCTCCACTGAATCCTTAGAATAAACGTCGGTATAGGTCTACTGAATTCTGTTTTACTTCATATAAGCCAATCTGGTCAATTTTGACCCTTAACCATGGGGATTTCGTTTCCCTTGTTTTTCGTGTAAGTCGTTACCCTATTCATGCTACATTTATCCAATAGAAAGCTCAATATTTTAAATAATATATAGTTATTAACATTACATCATGCAATAATATTGGGAACATTTTATTATTATTATTTTAATCATGATATCATTTATACAGCGCCATTTTTTTTTGTAGATAAAAGTCGCTCCTTTTCCCCCGGTCTCAGTGGGTCCTCATGATTTAAGTGTTGCTACCGGTAAACATTGCAGGAGTAGGCAATCTCACCAGGTACCCATTTATACTCCTGGGTAGCGAAAACCCATGCAGTAATTGTTTGATAAAATTGGGAGGGAATGACATGTACCATACATGCCTGTATGGTCTACCTATGACCATAGAAAAGACACATGATTACAGGAGAAGCAATGCAGGTAAAGTACCTTGCTCAAGGACACAAGCGAAATGTACAGTTCAGCGAGGGACTGAAACCCCGACCTCGAGGTTGGGAAACCAAACCGCTCCCACTGCACCAAACCACTTCTACAACATAAAAAACTATTGTTTTAATTACATTTGGGCTGATTTCATATTATAAAATTAATTGTATTTGCATTGCAAATTGTTGCTATAAATTAGTTCTAATTCTACATAACTAATTCCTTATGTCAATAAAAATAAATTTATACCGAATTTATGTCATCGTTGTTTGAAAACATGCCAAAAACCCTATTAAGGGCCAGGGACATTTTCGCGTTTTTGGTTAGTGTCCCATGAATAGAGGTACCCTATTCAGGGGAAACCCTTACTAAGGGTCCATTTTTTCTGATCCTGAAGGTGTCTCCTTAATAGGGGTTCTACTGTAATATTATAGGCGCAACCCTATTAAAGAAAATAAAAGCGATAGGCCTCCGCTTTTTTGTTTTATTCATTTCAAGACACATTGAACAGTAACAGTTACAAAAACGAGAAAAAATGCATTATAACTAAAATTAATACAAAGCGATTCGATTTGATATAAAAATAAGTATTTAAAAATTAGATAAACAAAACTAAAATAAACTAAACTAAACTAGAGAATGACAATTTTCTTACAAATGCTGTATTTCTTAATTCTTAATAATATTAACTTATTAAAAAAGATTAATTTCAATACATAAATCATTATGATATTACGGTAACATTATGTATTTAGCCTAATTTCTTTAAATCACTAACAATAGGTTGTTTAATTTAAAATTATACAGCTAAAAATAAATACATTTTTCCTATTATTTTCTTTTTTTTTTACACAGTACCCAAAAGCACAAAATTTGCTGATTCACGTTTTTCAAACAATTTTAAGGGAGTTCTTTATAAATTATCTTTTAATAGTTCCCATTTTCTCTGGAACTTAAGCATTGTATTTCTTTTAGAGGTAATATTTTTTTCAACTTTATAATTAAATTTTAAGCGATTCAAAAAGACGTGAAACAAAGGTTTTCTTTGTGCAAATTTGTAACTGAATATTATTTTTTTAATTAACAAAATACATAAATTTAATATCAGATGAGGGTGTTCAGTATTAAAACCAAATAATATAGAGTTGTGGTCTAGGTTAATCTTTGTGTTTGATATGTTTTCCCACAATTTGCTAAACATATTCCATAATTCTGTTGCAATATTACATTCACCAATAGATGTAACATTGTTTCAGCACGTGAATGACAATAGGAGCACATGTCGTTGTTTATAATCTTCAGTTTAAATAATCTACTATTAGTTGGCAGATAATTCATATTTATTTTATACTGAAAAATCCTATTTGTTGTCTCTTGTGAGCAATTAAATGGTAATTTATAAATACCCTTCCATTTGTCGCTATCGACACAAAATCTGTTCTGCATATTTTATCTTGAGATGTTGGTGCTTGATATATTCTTTCTACTAGGACTCATACATTCTAAATCTTTGTCTTCTTTCAACCCTTTTACTATAAAACCCCTCCTTTTATACCCTTTTCGTAAAAATCCAGATTTCATATTTTGTTTCCAATGTGTTGGTATTGCTGATATAATCCAGTGCATATAATTACTAGTGCTTAAAACCTTTCCTAACCATGCATTGAAAGGGACGATTTTACCATTTTCATAAGAGAGATCACTAACTAAACATATACCAATTTCATTGAGTCGTTTATAGTAGGGTGGTTTACCATCAACGAGAATATTTCGATTATGCCATCATATATTGTGACCCCCTCATTAGCTGTAGTAAGAGTTACTAATTCAAGATAAGCATTAAGCATATCTTATTAAAACATAGGAATATTTTTCCAACGACGAACATAACCAGCACTTATATTGCAATAGAAAATAATGTCACCGCCTAGCTCATTCAAAAATGCATGTAATAAAGACCTCCATGTTGTATTGTCATTTACATTGTAACGTTGTATCCATTTTATATTTTTAATGCTTTGAACATACTTTTTACATCTACCATATTTAAACCTCCTTCTTCATTATTTCCAATTAATATGGTCCTTTTGACCATACCCTTTTCGCCATTCCATATAAAATCATATAAAATAGTTTTAATTGTTTTAATCATGTGGGGCGGAATATGTATAACCGAAGCCAGGTAAATAAATTGGGATATTGCAAATGTTTTAATTAATATTATTTTTCCTGCTAGAGTTAACTGTCTAGTTTTCCATATATTTAATGTTGTTTTTATTCGATTTATTTTACTTTTAAAGTTGTTTCTCATTGTAAGAGAACTATACACCCAAAGCTTTCACTGGCTCTTGTGGCCACTGCACATTTAATGGTTTGGTTTCATTTAACCTGTTTGAGCCTAGCCAGACCGCCTGTGACTTACTTATGTTTAACTTTAAGCCTGGTATTTGTGGAAATTGGTCTATGAGACCAATTAAATTATTGGCTGATGGCTGATATTTCGTCCTGTATCATAAAAGTGGTATCGTTCGCATATTGAGTTATTTTGACTTCCGTTCATTAATTTTGATCTCTTTAATATATATCTACTATCTCTTACGGCTCATGTCAATCGTTCTATTGGTAAAATAAATAGATACGGGCTGAGGGGATCTCCTTGTCGTATACACTTTTCAACTGAAAAATATGTCGACAAGTAACCGTTATTCATTACACAACTGCTAATATTAGTATATAATGATGTTACATATTGGACACATTTTTTTTTACTGATGTTTGCCCTTTTTAAATCCTGGAACATGAAGTCCCCCTCCAAAGAGTCAAATGCCTTTTCATAGTCCAAAACAGCATAATTCCTGGGATATTTTATTTTTTTGTAAATTCCATAACATCTTCAATAGTTCGTACTGACTCTCCAATGTATCTGCCCTTCACGAAACCACTTTGATCTGCGTGAATAAGAGTAGAAATGAAAAGACCCCAATCTAGTTGCTAATACCTTAGATGCGATTTTGTAGTGCACATTGAGTAATGATATGGGTCTCCAGTTTTTTAATTTACACCTGTCTTTACCGGCCTTTTCAATTAAAGTAACCACTGCTTGTCTCTGCGATACTGTCATTATCCCCTTCTTTATTCCTATATTAGGTGTTTTAACCCCTGTTTGACCTATGCTATCCCAAAACTTTAAATACCATTCACCGTCATTTCCAGGGCTTTTATTTTGTGGCATAGATTTTAAAGCATTAAGGCATTCTATATTCGTTAGGTCTCCTTCCAGATTTACATTGTTTTCTTCCTCTAAAACAGGAATACTATCACTTTTTAAAAAATCGTTATTTCCTAAATTGTTGTTTGCTTTAG